GTCCCTCCGTCGTCAACATGTACTTGGACAATAACTGAAAAACGCTTTAACCAATTTGCATGAAACTTTGAAGAATTGTTTATTTCTATTGGAGTGAGGTCCCTTTAGATTTTTGTAAATTTTCGATTTTATGTTTCGGTGTTTTGGGGTTTTATTCATTAAAAATTGGGGATTTTCCAGTTTTTTTCAGACAATAACTCAAAAATGTTTTGAGGAGTTTTCATGGAACTTTGCTGAATTGTTTATATCTAATGACCTGTCTCAGCTCCCTTTTGATTTTTATAAATTTTAGATTTTACTTTTGAGTTTTATATTCATTAAAAAAGTAGGATTTTTTCCAGTTTTCGGACAATAACTCAAAAGTGCATGAGTAGTTATCCTGAAACTTTATATCTATTAAAATAAGCTCCCTTTTAGTTTTAATATGACAATGAGGAGTTCAGGAACATTATTCTTCGAAATAGCAACGGACGTATCATGGATCATGGCACAGCTCTTTATTCTAATTTTATAGGTTTACAGATTTTTGATTTGACTGATTCAGTTCAGTTGTTTGGGGGAAAAAAAAATTTACAGGACATAGATATGTACTGTATATAAATAAATGTATTTCAGCTTGTAAAAACCATGTTTTTTGCCAGTTTTTTATATCCAAAAGGAGGACACAATTTCATGCACCAATAAAACAAGAAAACCTCAATTTGTCTCATGGTCATCTTCTGTTACTTTTTAGCTCACCGTTCCGAAGGAACTGTAAGCTTTTGCCATCACTTGGCGTCTGTCTTGGTCCGTCGTCGTCCGTCTGGTGTGAACTATTTCAAACATCTTCTCCTCTGAAAATACTGAACCAATTCCAACCAAACTTAAGATGAATGATCCTTAGGGTATCTAGAATAAAGTTTGTGTTTTATTTACTGTTTCTTCTAATAACATCGCCGCCATGGCAAAAAATAGAATATAGGGGTAAAATGCAGTTTTTGGCTTATATCTCAAAAACCAAAGCATTTAGAGCAAATCTGACAAGGGGGAACCCATTGATAACCCATTGTTGGGTTGCTGCCACTAAATTGGTTATTTTAAAGAAATTTTGCAGTTTTTGGTTATTATCTTGAATATTATTAATGATAAAGATAAACTGTGAACAGCAAAAATGTTCAGCAAGGTAAGATCTAAAAATAAGTTCATATGATCAAAATTGTCAATTGACCCCTTAATGAGTTATTGCCCTTTAAGGACAATTTTACACAATTTGTTTATCATGTTTTCTAACTTTAAAAAATCTTCTTCTCTGAAACTGATGAACCAATTCTAACCAAACTTAAGCTGAATGATTCTTAGGGTATCTAGAATAAAGTTTGTGTTTTATTTACTGTTTCTTCAAAAAACATGGCCACCATGGCTAAAAATAGAACATAGGGGTAAAATGCAGTTTTTGGCTTATATCTCAAAAACCAAAGCATTGAGAGCAAATCTGAAATGGGGTAAAAATGTTCAAAAGGTCAAGATCTATCAGCCCTGAAATTTTCAGACAAATCGAAACCCATTGTTGGGTTGCTGCCACGAAATTGGTTATTATCTTGAATATTATTGAAGATAAAGATAAACTGTAAACAGCAAAAATGTTCAGCAAAGTAAGATCTACGAAAAAGTTTATATAACCAAAATTGTCAATTGACCCCTTAGGAGTTATTGGCCTTTAAGGACAATTTTACACAAGTTGTTTATGTTATTTAACTTTAAAAATCTTCTCAAACGAATCTAGTATAAATTTTGTATTTTATTTCCTTGTACGTCAAGAAACGTACACTATTGCTAAAATGGAACATATGGGTAAAATGCATTTATTTGGTTTTGAAGAAAATATGACAGATATAATGAACATTTAAATTTTTAAGCCACTCATTAATATATATTGAAAAGCAAAATTAATCATTGATGAAAGATTTAAGCAAAAAAATAACAGGTGAGCGATTCAGGCTCTTAAGAGCCTCTTGTTGTTAAGCTTGTGACTTCTGTAACAGAAAGCTCGACATAGGGATAGTGATCTGGTAGCGGGGTGAGCTAACTCCTAAAAAGCGTAATATTAAGGTAGAAGACCTGGATCCTTCATACTTTGTGTATAGATGCCTTATGTTAAGAAGTTTTCTTCTGTCCTATGTCCATTGTCCTTGACCTCATTTTCGTGGTTCAGCGACTACTTGACAAAAAAATGTTTTGACTTTTAGTATTCTTAATTTCTCTCTAATTATGAGTAATAGGATAACTATATTTGGTATGTGCGTACCTTGCAAGGTTCTCATGCCCGTCATACAGTTTTCACTTGACCGCAACCTCATTTCATGGATCAGTGAACAAGGTTAAGTATTCATGGTCAAGTCCTTATCCGAGATACTATAAGCAATAGGTCTGCTATATTTGGTGTATGGAATGATTGTAAGGTGTACATGTCCAACTGGCAGGTGTCATCTGACCTTGACCTCATTTTCATGGTTCAGTGGTCAATTTTAAATTATTGAGTTTTGGTCTTTTTTTCTAATGGTCAACTATATTTGGTGTATGGAAATATTTTATGATGTACATGTCAGTCTGGCCGGTTTTATTTGACCTTGACCTCATTTTCACGGTTCATAGCTCAGTGTTAAGTTTTTGTGTTTTGGTCTGTTTTTCTATTACTATAAGCAACAGGGCAACTATATTTGTTGTATGGAAGGATTGCAAGCTGTACCTGTCTGCCTGGCATGGTTCATCTGATCTTGACCTCATTTTCATGGTGCATTAGTCAATGTTTAGTTTTCTTGGTTAAGTCTGTATCTTAGAAACTATAAGCAATAGGTCAACTATATTTAGTGTATTAAATGATTGTACATGTATTTCTTGTTTGGTTTATATGACATTGAACTCATTTTCTTGGATCATGTTAAGTTTATGTGATAGTTGTAGTAAATCTTTATATTTTGAACTATCAACATAATAAATGATTAATAAAGAAGGCGAGACATTTCAGCGTGTGTACTCTTGTTGTCTCACATTAATGGAGTTAAAAAGCAAGACATAGGTATGCTGTTTCCTATTACGGCGGCGTCAACAATGTATTAGTTTGTGATTAGGTCAATCTATTGGGAACCACAAGTGGTAGGTCAATTATATTTTGTAGGCAGTTGTATTAGCATTGGCACATCTCATCTCCATGGAGATTATTTGGCCCTGCCCCTCAGTCGAAGTTGCACTTGCATTTGTTTATCTGGATCATATCTAAATTTATGGTCTAGTAAACAAAATCATTGTTAAAATTAGGAATAAGCTTAGTTTCCATTCTTTTCCAACATTTATATATATACAAATTTGATATTTTATTATAAAATATATATTAAATCCAATAACTAGCAGAAAATTTGAACAACCTAAGGTTTAGAGTAAGCAATGTAAAGGTAATGCAGCTATCTCTGCAATAACCAAACAGTATTCGATGTGAGAAATAACTCTAATCACATTGAGGTTATTACTTTGTGTGATAAACATTGATCATTGTTTTATCCAAAGTCAGCTAACTTTAATTTTCATGATTTGGTTTTGCATAAAATTACAAAATTGCCTTCTTAATAAATATTTTTCCAATCTTATTTCTGTTAAGTTGTTTCAAATGGGGGATGTCCATTATAAAACATTTAAAACTAGTTTAAGATTATTTTTAATTATATTTATTTCCATATTTAAGACATTTATTTCAATGAGTTATTTTATGTGTATGTTTTCTCTTAACATGTTTCTTTGTACAAAATTTTGATAAAAATGTTTTTTTTTCTATTTTTTTTTTCTTCAGCATTTCTTTAAAATGATAACATAACTTGAAGAAATTCAAAACTTTTCCAATATTACATTACCCATAGCCATGCTTACATCAATTAAAGATAACTTTTTCATTTTTCAGAAAACTGGTTATATGATGTAGGATGCCATTTCTTTTAACAAAACATTGTAACAGCATGGATCCCTATAAACACACTTAACTTCTAAGTGTATCCTACATCATAGACCATATATTACAATGTAATGTATTTTTACAAACTTGTAAATCAAATTTTGATTGAAAATAATTTTACTCATCTCTACTCTGTAGATACTATATATTGCACAAACACTACACCAGGACTGAAGACTTGTGACAAAATATCCAAGTTGAATGGGACTAGGGACCACTGGAACTAGCTCCTTCAAAGAACTTTTTCATTATTGACCTCTTAAGTGATGTCTTATGATGAAATCATGTTTTTGATAGTTGCATTGATTAATGTTCATGCATTAGAACATTGGATTGACTTTGACCCACGACTTGTTATAGTTTCACCAGAGTATAAATGAGTTTGCTCATTGAAAGTGTATAGAAGATTTTATTTTAATATTTAATCTGTTTTTCACCAATTTGTTTACATTTGATAGCAAGGCTAACGGCTGGTGCACCAAAATAGATTTTCATAATTGGCTTGTTTCTATTTCCAGTGATTTAAAAAAAGATTAAATTCTGAAAAATTGCAACAGCAAATAGTCTCTATTTAAAGCTGATATTAAGTTATCGTTTTTGTTAAAGATACAGCCTAAATATGTTGCACTCCTAGACAGAGAAGATGGATTCATGGCAGATAGGAAGAGTCAACATGTAAGTATTTGGTCATTACAATTGTACTTAGAACTATGTTAATATTTGGAAGTCAATAAAATCTGTTTTCACTGAAACAATAGCTTAAAATTTTATTACAAATTGGTCTAAAATATCTTATTCGAATTTCAAATGTGGTATATTTTAATAAGAATGAAAGAGTAATTGTAAATTAATTGTCCATAATTTAAGATTTGACATAAAACATGAATCACATTAATCTTTTTAATTTTTTTAACAGCCATTAAAAATTCTCTATCTAAAGCTGATGCTAATTTAATTTTTTCTTATGTAACAGATACAGCCCAGATGTGTTCCACTCCCACACAATAAAGAGAGTTTTATGGTAGATGGGACATTAGGATGTTTAACATGTAGGTATTTAGTCATTAAAATTGTACTTTAAATTAGACTATGTTTATATGTGAACACTGGCAGACCTATTTGGAAAATCACCGCGATTTTTGTAAAAACTCTGGTGTTTTTTGGCTAATCTCCGTGAAACGGATAATTATTAGAGGTTCATCGTAAATTTGCTGTATTACAGGATATTTTGCATGTTATCCGGAGATTTTCCGTGTCGGCGGGAATTAGCCGTTTGTCCGATAAAACTGGTGTGTATTGAGTCATTGATAGAACCACTGATGCGTGAGCGACGGTTATTAATAGGTCGTTGTATAATCCGTTATGCGTGAGCGACGGTTATTAATAGATCCTTGTAGTGTGGTACAAATTATGATATATAGATGTTTACAGAATTAAAAACAAAGTAACTATAATCATTTGAGATATAAGGAATTTTCAAAAATATATCATATAATGTTTCTGTAAATTTAGAGATAAACAGATTATATATATCTGAGGATTAGATGGTTACTTTTTTTTAATTATATGTCAGAGGCCGCAGATCATTTAATTGCTTCTAGAACCGTTTATTGAAACAAAAATAAAATGAACGGCCAGGGGAAAGTCTTTAGTAACCTTAGTTGGTATCCGGGGTCAACTGGGTTGAGTTCAATATCGTAGCAGCTACGTAGCGGCTATGTAGTTACTATCAATATCTATGTAGCAGCTAATCTATAGCTACACGTTCAATAGTAAAAATCTACATAGCACTACGTAGCCGCTACGATATTGAACGCAACCCTGGTAATACATAGAGTCAGACCGTCGTTGCATAATATGTATATGTATTTACACACAATGCAGTGCATTCAAACTCGATTTCGCAAACTCGTGGGTTGTCTTTTTAGACAAAAAAGTTCAATTAAAAAGATATGAAAGTTGCGTACATGTATACAAGGAATTGTATATTTAACGTCAATGCCTGTCTTGTAAACTAATCTGTTACACTTTGAAATGTAAATAAGTTCTATTTAAAAGATTGGACGGTTATTTCACATGAATAAAAGTTCTTCTGATCATTTTTGTTTTACAATGATTTTTGAAAGTGCGATCTTAAAACTAAGTTTGTCCGGACTTGCATGGAATATTTGCCACTGGAAGTTAAGCAACCAACAATCAATCATCTTAAAATAAAATAAATATGCCTGAGCGATAATATTCTTAAATTTTTTAATGTGAAACACAGTTTCTTCATTTATTAGAAATCACTTTCAGGTCTAATGGTAAAGTGAATATACATTCCGGGATGAGATTAATTTACTATAATTGGCAAAGAAAAAGAAATGATATTACGTTTCTTTTAATTAAAAATTAGACTGCAACAAATGTAGATCGAACATTTTTAATAATGAAATAATGCACGTCAAAAATTTCGCTCACAATAGAGATGTTAAAAATAGATTTTAACAATTGTGTCACTGCACGAGATTTTCCAACGGCGGGAAATATGTAGCTATAAACACAGGTGATGTTACTGACCGATTGTGGAATGTCAATTTAGGGTTAAATTTGATGTGTAATGATTGACATTATTGTGCGAGTTAGGTTGAGGCTCTAGAAGGTTCATTTCAATTGATAACCAAAATTATAAAATCAAGTTTTTTTTTCAAATCAACGTTCAAGTGTAAAATTTTGTGGGAGGGAAACTTTATTTTGTTTGTTTTTTAGGGGCACAGGGAGTTACCATAAAAATCTATAGGAACATTGAATAAAACAATTTCGAAGGTCACAACTTGTAAACTAATGAAAACAATGATAAACACTGCTGACAAGCGTAAACAGTTGTACATTACTTAGAAAATAGAGAGAGTGAAAAAAAAAGGACGTTGATGATGGTTACTGTTCATGTTAATTTTGAAAGATCGTGGTAACTGATTTCTGGGATGGTGGTACTTGCCAAAAGGTTGTATAAAAGGACAAACTAAGTACAATTTTAGCCGTGATATATGGGGCCCCTCACGCTTGAATTAATTTACGTTACGTATTTCGTCCTTTATTATGACCTACAGTTGATCATAGTTGAGTACTACGTATCGGTCAGGGGCGGATCCAGACACTGTGAAAAAAGGAAGGGTGTGCTAGCCAGGGTTTCTCAGAAAAAAGGGGGTGCTAGTACAGTTGGCCTAATGTATTTGAAGGCCAGGATTGGAAGATTATCAGACATTCTGTGGCTCAATTTTAATTTTATTTTCTAACTGTGAAGTGCTTCCTAAGCCGTGGCCTGGAGAACCATACCCAATTTTTTAAAAGGGTGTTCCAAAGGCATATTAAAATACTTCCAGCATTATACAGGTCCTGAGGTACAATTTCTTGGGGAGGAGATTTCAATTGCTGTTATGTGGGTTAATTTTTTGTTACTAGGAATTTTCGTTTTTTTTTTCATCAGATTTGCCCCAATTGTCTATTCTGTTAAGGTTTCACAAAAGTCAAAATATATAACACTTCATAAACATCTGAACTTTGCCTGTATTTTTCAACCTACAATGAATAAAGTCCTAAACTATAAGAAAATATCTTCATTTAAACATACTTAAACATATGCACACCGTGTAAATTGTAAATAAAATTGAAATTGTTATGTTGTGGCCAACCCGGTTCTTGGGGTGAACACCAAAATTTCCAAAAAAAATCTGGAGGCCTATTCTGATCATATTCTGATCCCCAATTTGATGAGAGAAAAAAATATTGTGGTCTGGCAGTTGACAAAAAAAATCGGAATTCCAGAATTCCCCATACCGTTTATTTCGAGAAAAAAATGTTTGGTGCATGGCAGTGGGGAATAACGTTGTGTTCCGAATTATTTCCGACTCAGAACAAACCCCTAACCCTTTGAATTTAAATGTTGCTCCTATATACCTTACTATCGTGAATTTTCAATGTTTCATGTATATTTCAGGTCAGATCCCAGGGCATACTATGTGTTCATAATTATAAAAACGTAGAAAATTCATGATTCATGTATGTGTAATATGTCTCAAGAAAATGGATTGAAGGCATATTAATTATCAAATTATTTATTTGTACAAAAAAAACACATAGGCAATGAAAACCGTGTGTGTGCCAAGAAAGGTCAATACGTAGGACTCAACTCGGAGGCTGGTTTAGGGGCAGGCTGTCCAGATCCCTCCTTATGGAACTACATATGGTTAATTTTGACTTTTATTTACTTGTTTCACTTACCCGAATAATTCAGTCGTTATATTCCGCTGATCTACAATTATTTCATTAACAAGTATATAGAAGAGATCGATTACGGAGAGAGACTGAATTTTTCGGGGTTAGTTCCACTCCGACCTTTTTTTAGTTTATACAATAAAGCAAGTCTATTTAATCCATTTCTCCGCTGTTTTCGTAATATATAGCACTTTCGTCATACTTAGGTTAGGTTTCAAAGAGATGATCATTAATATGAACATGTCGGGGTCTTTTAGAGCTGACAATGCGGTATGGGCTTTGCTCATTGTTGAAGGCCGTACGGCGACCTATAGTTGTTAATTTCTGTGTCATTTTTGGTCTCTTGTGGAGAGTTGTCTCATTGCCAATCATACCACATCTTCTTTTTTTATATATAATAACAATATCATAATTACAAATACTAATTCTCCTTACGTCATCCGAGAATACACGTGTCTTTTCTTTAGGCTAAAGCGCGAGTAGATGGTAAGATATATATATGGAATTTTGAAAGGACCTTGACTGGCTACACAGCCCTTGCACGATCTGATCGATGGTCAGAAAGATGACCGGACAAGTTCTAAGTGCACACAAATGGTCACATGTCATGAATATCCATGAACGTACAACGAACTAAATTTTATATACTGTAAATTCGGAAATTATTGCGAGGTTTTTATTAATGCGAAAAATGCTACTTGGTGAGTATCGCAATAATAAGAACTCGCATTCTGATAACTGAAACATAGATTGGTAAGCAGTTTTTTTCGAAATCGCAATAATTAAACTCGCATTTTTGTCCATGCTTGAAAAATCGCAATAATAAATGCACGCAATAATTTCTGAATTTACAGTATACGAATCCTTGCTGTACCACAGGTGTCCTTGTGTAATGAAATTTTAGGGTATTGGTGCATAGTCAAGTGATTAGATAAACTTGGATAATCAATGAGAGAGAATGAATGACCATTTTAAGTTAATCCAGGGACTTTCTATTGATTGTTGTTTGCTTTATGCTGCATTAGCACAAAAATGCTATATCGCGGCGAGAGCTTATATTTTTACAATTTAAGGTATATTTTTAAAATCAGACAAAAAGGTCCTTCAATAAACTAAAATTCTAGACTAAAGGGACTTTCTATACTAACGGGATAAGATAAGATAAAACTTTTTTTTATTAAATAATGAAAGCTTTTTCAGATAAAGGGAGTGTCGGACATAGTTTTAACTCTAAATGAAACTGTTCTTTTATTCATAAATAATAAAACATAAAATTAAAGGCATTTTAGACCCTTCCTACAAACGGAAAAGATGAGCATGAAAAATAAGTGAAAGGGGGGGGGGGGGGGGGGTAGGGCATAAGTGACTGGTTACGAATTAATTTTAATAGTAGTTCACCGTGCAAGAAGTTTTAAAGTACTTATGGAATAGTGTGACAGAAGCGGATTTAGAGGGGGCCAGGTACCCCTTTTCTTGAAAAAAAATTTGGTTGATTATACATGTATTGGGAATCACTGAAGCATGACTGAAGCGACCCCCTCTCAGGCAGTCAGTGCATATGAAATTTCTGGATCCGCCACTGGTGTGCTAGCTTATAAATGATATATTTTTTACTTCCTTTATTGTTTTTAATCCTTACTCCGTCTTTGTGAAATAATCGAGACTTCATCAGGTATACACTCGGAGAAATAAAATATTGAAGTGATTTGAGTACCGATATATGAAATGTCTCCTTGGTAGCTGGTATCCCTTGTGGGATTAATAAATTGAACTCATGTGTGCCGGAATAGGTAAT